AACTAACTAGAAATTTAAAAATAAAATAAAATAAAATGGCTAGAAACACGAAAACACCAAAAACCCTATCAAAACATTCGAATTTGGCCTCAAGAGGGTGGGGCTAGAAATTCTAGTTTTGCTCAGAATGTCGTTTTCTTCGAAACGGGTACTCGCAGCACTCCTAACTCAACCAAAATTTTCCTTATGAATAGTACTACTGTTCATCTGAAACAGTACTACTGTTCACAATTTCTCTTTTTTTTCTGCAAAATAAAAAAATAACAAAAACGCAATAAAAAAAATCACAAAAACACGAAAAAATCTACTAGAATCACTCCCCGGAAACGACGCCAAAATCTGGTATGCTGTCGTAGGCAACCAAGATTAAAAACTTTCCTAACCTAACTACTGAACTGTAAATAGGGTAAGCAAGAGTCGATCCCACGAAGAGTGTCTAGCCAAATTTTCTATGATGTGAATAAGGTTGGGGGGGTTTTAAGTAAAACAGAAAACAATCTTAGCCAAAAACAAAAACAAAAACAATTCAATTCAAAATCAATTAATATAACGAATCTTGGTCTCCGTCAACATCCACCATCGGAATCTTACAACTGATCATTGATGCAAAATTAAATCAATTCATACCCTGAATAGTCACGTTGGAATTATTTTCCTATCTCTCCTTAATTGTAATTAATTAGGAAACAAGCGTTCTTAATTAATCTTACCATTAAACAACCCTAGACAAGCGCTAAAGATTTAATCTAATGGCAGTCTTAAGAATTAGAGAAATCAATGAAGCTAAACAACACAAACACAAGCGGTTGTATTTAATTTAGTTGAATGTTCTTCTTAAGATTACTAATTCCTGACGCAGCAAATTATTAACCCTAATTGCTTCACAAGTTAGAGGGATCAAACAATTACGGATTTGATATCAAACTTAGCAGCAGATTGCAACAAATAATACACTAGTAGGCCTCCTAGTAATTAAATGCATCAATCATGAAGATATGCACAGTATAACATTAAATACTCAAACACGAAAATTGAACACTAAAATAAAATAGATTAGATCTCACAGTTGGTTGATTCCAAGGTCTCCGTTTCCGATGACCAAGTTACAAAACTTTTAGCTGCTCATGGCCATAATCAAAACTCAAAAAGAAAGAAAAATTCCAGAGAAGAGAATAGAGAGGCGTGGTTCCCCTCAAAACCCTAATCTCATCCCTTTTTACAAAAATCCAGTTCCAGTATTTGAATCCCACTAAATCTCCTAAAAGAAATATTCTAATATCCTAAAATAACATTAATCCTAATTTGATTCTAATTAATTTAAAATAAGATAAAATCCTAAAATAAAATAGGAAAGTGGTGATTCTGAGCTGTAACTTGCGTGCCACATGTCCTCAAATCTTCCAATAATAAACTGCCGAATTGATTTTCATGACAAGGCAGAATGCTCCAGGACGTCCAATGCAGATGTGTCAACTTCAAGCTCAATTACAACCTTGATGCAGTGAGTATCTCTCCAAACTCAAAACATGAAAGTTGTAGATATATTTCTTAGCGTTCCACAGATTTTGAGTCATCTCAATTGGAGCTCGGATGAGAGAGTTATGCCCAGATTACGAAACAACGTCGAAACTGTCTGAATTCACTTAATTAGTTCCGTTTTGCAATTAACGCCTCCATTTGCATCCTAAATCAAAATAGAATAATAATGAGTACATTTAGGCAACAAATACGTATAAAAGACTAAATATTAAGGGGGGTAAATATGACATTTTGCATTCCCATCATGTAGTGTTCAATGAGAGTGAATTCCCTTGTAAAAGATTTACCACTGATCAAGGAATCATCAAACACACTGAAACATCTCCCAGCCCTATAGGTAGTACACAAATTAAGGTGGAGCCTCAGACACAGTAGGTTAACCCTACTCAATCTGATTCAAACCCTCAAACTGAAGCTAAAATAGAACACCTTGAACCTGGACAACCAGAAATCCTAGAACATCAACTAGTTGATCTACAACAGTACCAACTTGCAAGGGACAGAACCAAGAGAGAGGTAAGGCCACCTACACGTTATTCTTATGCTGAAATAATTTTTACTGCCTTGCTTGCAGGTACAGAAGTCCAAATAACAGAACCTGAAACATATGATGAGGCTATGAAGTCTAAAGACAAAGACAAGTGGGAAGCAGCAATGAGGGAGGAGATGCACTCACTAGAGGTAAACAAAACCTGGTCTTTGGTACCCAAACCCAAAGACTAGAAACTGATTCAATGTAAGTGGCTTTATAAACTAAAAGATGGCATTTCTATTTATGATCCCCCCTAGATATAAAGCCAGGCTGGTTGCCAAAGATTATACCCAAAGAGAGGGAATAGACTTCAATGAAGTCTTTTCCCAGTGGTGAAATACAAAACCATCAGACTTATGCTTTCCATTGCTGCTCACCAAAACTTAGAATTAGAACAGCTAGATCTAACCACTGTATTTCTTCATGGAAATTTAGATGAGCAAATTTATATGTGTCAGCCTATAGGATTCATTGACTATATGGTGCCAAAGCATGTATGCTTGTTACATAAGTCTCTATATGGCCTCAAACAAGCCCCTAGGCAATGGTACAAAAGATTTGATACCTTTATAGTGGGCCTGGGGTTTAGGAGAAGCAGATATGACAGCTGCTTCTACTTTGACTTGGATAAAAATTGCCAATTTACCTCCTGTTGTATGTTGATGATGTGTTATTAATTAGTAGATCCAAGTCTAGAATACAAGATCTGAAGAAGAAACTGAGCTTAGAATTTGACATGAAAGACCTAGGAAATGCTAAGAAAATTCTAGGAATGGTGATATCTAGAGATAGGAGAAATAATTGTCTAAAACTTGAACAGAATGCTTACTTGCAGAAATTGGTAAATAAGTTTGGTATGACTGACTCAAAACCAATCTCCATGCCCTTAGCAAATCATTTTATGCTTAGTAAAGACCAATTTCCCAAAACTGAAGCTGAGATAATAAAGATGAATGATATCCCTTACTCAAATGTAATTGGCTCTATAATGTATGCGATGATAAGCACTATACCTGATCTGTCTTTTGCTATATCTCTACTTAGCATATTTATGGCCAACCCTGGTAATGAGCATTGGATTGCCCTGAAATGGGTTTTTAGATACATTAACAGCTCATTAAATGTTTGTTTAAAGTACTGCAAGAACACTACTATGCTTGATCTTGTTGGGTTTGTAGATTCAGATTTTGCAGGTGATAAAGACACCAGAAAATCCACAACTGCTTATTGTTTCACACTTGGTGGAAGCTGCATATGCTGGAAATCACAATTGCAGCCCATAGTAGCACTTTCATCAAGAGAGGCCGAATACATAGCCATTGCTGATGTGTTTAAGGAGGCTGTGTGGCTACAAGGAATGATGTCAGAAGCAAACCTAATTGGTGGGAAGGTTACAATCTACTTAGACAGCCAGAGTGCAATACATCTGAGTAAAAACCCAGTCTATCATGAAAGGACCAAGCATGTAGACGTGAGATTTCATTTTGTGAGAGACTTGGTTGCCCAAGGAGTAGTTGAGTTGAAAAAAGTACCCACTGAAGAAAATCCAGCCGATACGGAAACAAAGATCATCACACCAACAAAATTCAAGCACTGCTTAAAGTTGTTGTCAATGGAGTAAACCAACATAATTTGGAGCTATGAGGGATATGGCTTAGAGCACACTGCACTACTGGGTGTTTCAAGTCTTCAAGGTGGAGATTGTTGAAGTGAAGACTAAAACGACATCACTTTAAGGCTTAAATGAAACGTTGCGTTTTGAGACAACATAAGTTGAATCCTGGGCATTGAACAAGTTCAGATCCAACGGCTGAGAATTTTCAAAGGAGTCAACGGTATATAAGTGGATGAATAGTTGAAATCAGGGTTGCGCAATTTGGGTTTTTCTCTTCGAAAGGTTCATATTGTTCTCTGTTAGGGTTTACACAAATTCTGGGAAATCATTGGAACTTGGGTAGATTGGTTAAGTGTTTAGTCAATCAAGAGAGTCTTTTGCTCTTGTGATTTGAGGATTCCTTGTGAGTTTCCTTAGGGTTAGTTACTGAGTGATTTTCGTGTAGATCAGTGAGGGTGTGATCTTGATTTGTACTGGTTACTGTTTGAATCTTGTTCTAATAGTAGTGTCATGAGCTCTCCCATTTCCGGAGCTCAACGTAGACGTAGCTTATCCAATCTGGATAAGTAAACTACGATAAAACATATGTTGTGTGTTGGTTTGATTTCTTGTGATTTTGTGATCTGTTGGTTGAATTGTGTTTATTGGTTTGTTACAACATGATTCTTTTACAAGTAAATTACATAAATGATAAAATTGTAATAATATTATTATGGCATGTTTTACTATAACTTTTTTAGTCTTCATAAAAATTCTATCTTAATTATTATTATTATTATAGAATATCTCTTTATAATTATTATCAACGATAAAAGTTACACCATTGGAAACAAGTCAACAACTTTCTTAGTGTAAACCAGATGTGGTACATGTAGAATTCTACTGATCTGCTATCAGTTCCAATTGGTCCATTAAATTTCATTAATTATATCTCACTATATATAAAATCTTCATATAAATTAAGAAAATGCTTAGGATCTTTATTGACTACGAGTATTAATGTCTAAAAATTTTATTCAAAGCCATTTCTGTAGATTCAGCCCTGATAGGGATCGAGTGTGGGTGTAAGCTAAATAATTATATTGATTGAGCAAAGTTAAGGAGCTAGGTAGCCCAATATTTAAAGTTTGGTTTTCTCTTCTTTATCCCCACTTGGAACTAGTACTTCTACCGAAACTGATAAGAGACACAATTCACAGAATAAAGAACAACTTGTAGATTGTAATGCAATTATATATTTATAAATCGAATTTGATTAATTTCCGAATTGAAGCCAAAGTGAAGAATTAGTATAAGCAAAATGGACGAGCTCAATTATATGAAGTTTCATTGATGTAACTTCTCAACATGAAACAAGAAAAACTTAGAATTAAAAAGGGGGCAGGCAAACAGATCACCAGCATTCATACAGTTTAATATCAACGCAAAGCCTAAAATATACTTCTCCCTCGAATGCATCAGTCATCAGAGTGGCAATTCCTCTAGCCATGAAGAAGTCACCAGTTCCTCCAATCACCGAAATATCCCTAGTCTTATTCATCAATGGATCAGCCCCGGCAAAGTTTATGCTACCCTTATGCCCAGTAGAATTGAACACAAATGAGAAACCAAGCCAAGATGTAAAAATATCCTTCTTGTCATATAAATAAAACCCTTGTGCACGTCCAACTGGGGTCGAATGCAGATTGTTGTCTAAGGTAATTGGGTCATCGAACACGACCACGTTGCCGAAATGGCTTTGTCCCGCTAAGATAGTCGTGTTGCCCCAAGCTGGTGCACCTACAATGGCTGAAGTTGCATTCTCTGCGTTCTTACCATTGTAAAGTATGTCATGGAAATAAAACACTAGCCTTTTACAAGGGTTACGAGCCCTAATTTTTTTGGTGGGTTCAACGGAGGATAATGAGAGTATGATGATGAGAAAGAGAGATGTTATGAGCCTTTTAGCTTCCATTGCTAGAAAGAGAAAAAGAATGAAATAGTGTAACAATTGGTGTGAGGCAATGGGGAATTTTATCACAAAATTAATACACTTATATAGGATTCCTCGAATTGTGGTTGCTAAAACTTTAACATAAGATCAATAACTTTATAAAGCTTGGCTTTTAAGGCATATTATTGGCGAAGGGGTAGCCCTACATTGAATTAAGAACTATATATTATGTATTGAACCAACTTTTTTTCAGCTGTTTGCTTCATCTCTACTCTACGACTAGGCTAAGGATTTCCTGTAATGAAGATTACGTAACACAACTAAATGTTCTCAGAGTTAGTTAAGAGTCCTTAATTAACTCTTTGTTTTTTGGTAGGTTTCATGGATTAAATAATTAGAAAGTATCATCCAAACCTGAAGCTTTTAGTTTCATTTTGTCAATGATCATTTGCAGATTCAAAACCCTTTTGGATATGGATAATAATGCTTGCACAGTGTTGCTATCAGAGGAATTTTCCTGATATAATATCATTTATTAAATAAAATTTTGATGTAAGGATATAATCATAATGGAAATCTTTTAGGGGAATTTACTTTGAGTACACGTTTTTCTCATTAAATTTTCTTTCTATTTCTAGTCTAGCTACACCCCATTATTGCCGATCCATTTTTTCCGCATAATATTATGTCCTACTTTTTATAATTAACAATGAAACAACATTAGAAAGGTGAATCATGATTAACTAACTTGAGCATTAACTTGCTGTGCGGTAAATCCCTGAAACATGGCTTTACACCGTGTGTCATTATTTTTAGGTTAACTTTATTTATAAGTTTGTCATTATAATAGTATAGAAACATGCTTTTTACTCAAATAAGAAATCTGATCTTATTCATACTTAGTAAACTGTACTTGCATAGCAAAAACATAGAAAACAATACAAGAACAGTAGAAGTAAGATTTACATTGAGCATCCGAAACATTTTAAAAATCATTTTCCCGTGTTGTTGTTTGATCTACTATTTGTTCATCAATCCAGCATCGAAGTTATGAATTTTATACAAAATCCTATGTAGAATTCCATCAAGGATCTTACGCACTTCTCGTTGGCGCAAATGACAACATCAACATATAACTAATAATATATTTTGTTTTCAGCAGTATTAATGGGCAATCCATACCTTATTTTTACAAAGGTCCAATCAGATTCTAAAAATTCTCGAGCTGGATATCATGATTTTTCCCCATATCCACCTAAAATATTACGGAAGCCATGATTGCCATGCAGCATGCTCAATAACTGAAATTAACTTTCCTTTTTTCTTTCTACCAACTCTTAAGTCGTTGTAATATTTCTGAAAAGAAATCAGTGGCGATGCAAGACTTTAAGAAAGTGAGGGCCGTATTGAAGATGAAAGCTTAACGTCTTTTGTCTAAGAAATGAACCGTTTACTCAACCTAACCACTCAACACAATTTCAAATAAAATCGTGAGTTAGGTGGAAGATTCCCTAGTTCCATTTAGTATATACATTAATCCTGCCCAGATTGTCAAACTTTAAATATTTTCCCTTTTTCAAATTTTAATTGCCACTATACCAAATTACTAGGAAATTATGATATCGAATTTACAAATTAATTACATTAATCATCCGCAAATAATTTCAGCTTAACTTTTCTTCTACCACATTACTTGCTTGTTTATATAAATATGTTTGAATCAATCATAAAAAAATTTAATATAATTATAATTCCAAGATTGATATCCATGAGTTATCTGGCCACAGTGAAATAATCATGGTATACCAATCTCGGCAATATACATTAATAGAAACAAAATTAATTAGCTCAACTCAATATAAACAATATATTAAATTTTTTTTTTTCTTAAAAAAATATTTGGTTGGACCTATGAGATTATGATTCAAATTTCCCATCAAACTTGGGCTTCAATTTACATGGAGAAGTGATTATGGGCTGAAAAGCCCATTTCTATTGTTGCGTAATTGAGTTGCAAAGGATGTTGTGTGGTGGATATCCACTATTTCTAGCCGTTCTTTTAAAAATAAAAAAAAAAAACCAGTAATACTACATTCACAAACCTTCTTATTAATTTTCTATAAAACACGAATGTCAACTCGTAATTGGTCAGTTCGAAATAGTGTCTCACTTTAAAAAGGGTCATGTTTGATCAAATGCGAATTGCACATAAAAGTTAGTAAAGAAGGGATAAGAAGTATTGTCTCTATCTTTTTAAAATAATAATAATAATAAAATAATAATAGGAGGTTTACAATTTTTCGTTACTGAAGAAAACCTAGTATACCCACTATAAACAAAGCTTGCGTTTAGTTGTTTGCAGTTCTTGTTCTGTAAACATATTAACGACAATAAAATTAGACATTGTATCTCCTTTTACATTATATTCATTTTTTCTCTACTTGTATATACTATAATATATAAATCTCAAATTCAGACGTATTAAAGTTTTTAACATGTAGACTAAAAACAAATAAGTAATCAGTGTTGGAATGGATTTTATATTTTATGAAGCTCACAACTTCTACACGTTAAAATTTTCAGACATGATTATTAATTATTAATAATGACAATCCAGTCAAAATTGAGCATAGCTTTACAGACAAGTCCATCTTTTGATAGGATATTCAGGAAGAGTCCATCGGGCCCTCATTTTGTTTTTTCACTCAATATGCTTAGCTGTGTTTTATACATAGAGATGACCGGATGCCCTTAATTAAAATTATTTTCCAGAAGAACCAGATATAAAAGAAAAATTAAGAAGTAGAGCTGCCTGTACACCAAACAAATCCATTACACATCAAATTCTTAATTTAGTCACATGTCAAGAAGCAGATATCTTTAGTTGTACATCATAATACAGGTTTTTAATTGGTAACAGAAGTAAAAAGAAACATATAATACAAATAAAATAAGACTCTGGAGGAAGACCAAACCATAACTTTTATTCAATCTCATAAATATACAACATTTCACCACATATTTTTTCCACAAATTACACGTAATAGACTGAAAGTCAAATCATGTTTGCCTAATAACTACCAAATTCATAAAATTTGATGTCAACACGCAACGAAAGTAGACTTCACCTTCATATGCATCAGTCATTTAGTAGCGATGCCACGGTGATGAAAAAATCTCCAGTGCCACTCACCACAGAAATGTCTCTGGTTTTGACCATATGGGATCGGCTCCAAGAAATTTATGGAGCCCTGGTGATGTGTGCTGTTAAGGAGGAATGAAAATCCTAGCCAAGCCGTGAAGGTTTTTTTGCTATCGTACATGTACATGCCTTGTGCTCTACCAACAGGCTTGGAGTGAAAATTGTTGTCAAGAGTAATGGGATCATCGAAAACTGCTATGTTTCCGAAATGAAATGGCCTGCTAAAATGGTTAAATTAGCCTCGTGTGGCGCTGCCACAATTGCAGATGTTGCGTTGTCCTTGTTGTTGCCATGTATATAACACATGAAAGTATAAGACTAACTCCTTGCATGGCTTATACTGTTTAATTCCTTGCATTGGATGCTGCAAGAAACATAATTAAAAAAAAACAGAATTCTGCTCTTCTTGACACCATTGTTGTGTTCTTTAAAACTAGTTGGGGTTGGGTTTAATCGTTCTTCGTCAATCGTGCTCTTTATACACTAGGGTGAGTAGTTTAAAGACAAAAATGAGGGCTAAGGGCATAATAGAAGCAGGGCATCTTTGTATGAAATTGTTCCAGCCATCAAGGGATTCCGTAATCGGACTTTTCTTAGTTAGCTAACTTCCAAGAATGTCACCACTAAATCCAGTATAACAGCCAAAACTTATTCTAATTAATACACAAATTATAATGTTATTTTCTGTTTGGTGTAGTTTAGTTAATTAACTAGGCAAATGAAGAGCGTTTACGCAACTTCTTCTTCATTGAAATGCAAGGGTTCTTTCTTTTGTTATGAAAACTTTCTGTTCAAACTAGGGACGAAAGTTCACTATAATAGAATTAAATTAATCAACCGAAGTAGTAAAGAGAATTTCAAAGAAAATCGTAAGTTAGGTGGAAGAGATCCCTTAGTGTGTATATAAGCTTGTCCAAATTGTCAAACATGACATATTTTTCCTTTTCAAATTTCATTTCTTCCCTACATCCAAAAGGAAATCTGAAGCCACGATTCCTCGCTTATGGTAAATAATTGCAATTATTGTATGTTACACCCGAAAGTTTGAGAGGCAACAATGCAAACTCTCTTACTTTTCTCTTAAATTTGTTTTATCTTGAACATTTTATTTATTTCCAGCAAAAGTTTCCTTTTCTTGTGATCATATTGGTTGACCTATGAGCTTGGGGTTCAATTGCCTGAAGAACATGGTATGGGCTGAAATTGCCCATTTCAACTGTTGACCACTCGCGCTTTAAGAGGTTGCTCAAGGGGTGTTGGGTGGATGTCCACAAATTCCGCCGCCCTTGAAAGAAATTAAATAGATAAAGATGAGGATTGTTTGATCTATATTTTTATTGAAGGAAACATAGAGTAATACGAGACAAAAAAAACAATAAACAAACAAGCACAAACAGTAAAGAGAAGAAGTAATAAAAGTAATTATCCTAGTTATCCAATGTAAATTACGTTCAGTAGAGTCAATATTATTCAATATTGACTCAACTCTCTCGTTTTACAATGAAGTCAACAAAACCTCTGAATGCGTCTGTGTAACATCAATACTAAAGTGTCGACAACTCTTAACACTTATGAGATTACAGTTCTTGTCTCAACTAATATATAAAATCAGGATCCCAATTTTGTATGTAATCCTTATAGATGGTCGTTGATCTGGTCGAAAACGGTCAGATCTGTGACCATTAACGACCATTGATCTGGTTAAAAACAACCAATCGGTGCATGATCGGCCAATCTATCGATGTGGCACCGTTCTGGAGTGTTAGGGCGGGTCGACTGTGGTAGTCAACGGCCGACAGTCGTCTTGAGTGACTGGAGGTATTTGAGAGTATTCATTAAAT